TCTTGTAAAAAAAAAAGATACAATATTCTTTAAGGCTACACATATATTTGAAACATAGTATCTGTTTTTAAGTGTGCTGTTTCCATGTATGAGTGGCAATCATCTCTAATTTATAGTATGGTACCAAGACTCTGCTCATCAAATAACAAAATACAAGATGCTATAATATGTAGCCAAGCACCAGTTTAGCCCATCATTTGATTCTCTTCCAAACTAATGGACTGCAAATACATAGAAAGTGAAGTGGGTATTTTAAAGAACGGTTGAAGTAATTCTGGCCCTCAAATGTCTTAAGACTTAAGAGTTCTTTTTATTATTATTAGCAGATTGTCTAAGAGAAAATAAGAAATGCTAGAGAATTTAAATCTATGTTTTCTATTTAGTATAATCCGAGGACTTAGAGAAAAATGTTCTTTGATAGTAAGGAATGCTGGAAAAGTACATATACATTTATAAGGACTGTATTTGGGGGCTTTACATAAAGATTAGAGCATAGAGAAGATTACATTGAAGATATTTAGAAAACAACTTCAAAATAAATTTTATTTGCTTATGCAAACACAGTTTAAGAAATCAGTCGAAAACAGAAGATTTACAATACCCAGTCAATTATATAATTTAATGGGAAGTTTACCTGAGAATATTCATTGTCTTCACTAGTTATTGGAGATACAATTCTTGCCAGTAGGTAAAAAAATATACATTTATAAAGTAGAAGGACTTTGGAACATTACTGTGTTATGATTTGCTTAAAAACATGACCAAATAACATTGTTGAGTTATGCACCAATAGTTAAAAAAGAAGAGATCATTCTTTTACATGTGCACCAATGAATCTTATGTACTGTGCTAAATTAAAAAAAACTCCTGAAAAAAAGATATAACTATACTTTTTTACTAATTGTAATTATAATTATGATATAAATCAAATCAAAATGTTTTAGCAATTCCTTTTTTAGAAAAGAAAATAAAAAACTTTAATAAGTACCCTCAGAAATGGAAAATCATGTCAAAATATTATTTAAGAAAGTAAGAACCAGGATACACCAACTCTTTTACCCTCTTAGCAAACTAGATTATGGGAGTGAAGCATTTTTAAATGCTGTGTGATTTGGGCATAGTCAAAATTTTGCAGCAGGCCATTCACTGCTTTGCCAAGAAGCCACCAATAATTTGTTTCTATAACCAGCAGAGGGCACCAGGGCCTGCAGCATGGTTAGTAACAGGCGAAATCATCTAATTTCAGGTGATTCTTTAGTTCAGAGTTTGCCAAGCTAAAAAATGCTTTAAAGAAGAAAAGTGGTGGCTGGTAAAGAAACATATTTGCATTCTTCAGCACTTAAATAATGTTTATTATTAAATAAAACAGGTTTGACTGGCCTATTTCTGGTGAAGATTAATTTGACATAGGATTTTTATTAATATTTCTGAATCAAAAATTGAATGAACAAAGGAACTTTACTAAAGCCATTAATACTAACAATTTATTTAGCACCATATGTTTAGCACCAGAATAGATATTGATAGCTCACACTTAATAACTTTAATTGCAAAAAGAACCCTCAAAATTGAAGCAAGACTGGTAATTATAATGTGTTTTTAGCACCATTAACCAGTGAATTGTTAAACATTCTAAGTTTTTAGTTGACCTTTCATAAGTTAAAATTAGACCAGGACATAATTTAAAAAATCATTTTGTATATATTTAAATGTTCTCATTCACACATTTGACACTATAAAATAATAATAAAGATAATGTTAAATATTAACAGAAATGTAATTTTATCCTCCCTAAATACTTGAGTAGTAGGTAAAGGCTCTCTCGCATCTGGGACAAGTTTGCCTCCCGTGCTATTGTGGCACCTAATATACATTGTTACACTGCTAAAAAATCAAGACCAAAGTCTCAGAATTATTATGTCTTCATGGAAACTTTAAACATATCAACTTGGATTCTGTATTTTTTTTAATAGGGCATGAACCTAAGACATTCAAACTGGCATAAATATTGTAGGCTTACTTATACAGACATTGTAAATTGACTTAACACAAACAAGTAGACATGGGGAAATATATATTATTTCAATTTAAATATTCTAAGAAAATTGTGCTAGTTGATTTGACCTGCTCTGTGGTCAACTCTGCCCTACAGCTGCATGAAACCTGCAAGTGAATGTTTGCATGAATGTTTCAGATGGAAAATGTCAGCACCACCAACTGAAGTTGAGAGGGAATCTCTGCTGGGCCACAGAGACGGGAGTGTACAGTACTCAGCCAAATCCCAAACAATGCTAATCACTATTTCTTCTGTTTTCAAAGCACACTCATTTGTCATAATCAAGAATATTAAGGAGTGCCTGCACAACTGGCAGACAATTTTGTGAAGAAATCCATCTATTTAAGAGCTAAAATGGCATTTTCTTCATTGTTCTTTGACATAGAGGCCAGGACCCTACATTGGAACATAATATTCTGGCCTTTCCATTGAGTAAAGAATGATTAGAAAGAAAAGTCAATACTGTAGAACATATATGCCAATTATCATTTCTTTGAAATGAAACATTTCCAAGTTAAAAATCTCAATACTGACTCTTTAAAGCTGCTCTTATGAAATAGCTTATACCCAGGCCCTTTCTGTCTCTGGGAATAACAGTGCAAAATAGTTATTCTAGCACCACTGTTCCATGCTATTAAAAAATGTGAAAGTCTGTGTTGACTCTACCAAACTTTCATTGACTTGAACCTAGAAAATAAAGTACTTCACATGGCCATTTGATATTACTAACTTTAAAAAGTAAAAACATGACAACAAACATACCCATCATATTTCTGTTGAGTTGTTAAATTATAAATAAGCTTATTGTTCTGCTTGATTTTAGAAAGAACTGTTATGCAACGTATAAGCATGTACATACTAGTCTTAATCAGAATTTTCTGACAATTTATTTGGATTTCTGTCTCATTCAAAGCTTTATCTTTCAGAGACTTTCGTGTTAAAAAAAAAAAAAGAATGAGAGGTGGAACTCCTCTAACTTGCTGCAATTCTAAACTTTTTAGCTAACACTAAAAGTCCTTTCAAATAAAGCTAGGATAAACACAAAGCAATAGACAAAGTTTCTGCCCAAAAGGAGCTCTAGTAAAAAATAATTTTAGTTTTCATCAATTTATAATAATATGTTAAATCTACCTTCATAGGAGTCTCTGAAATGTGTATTACATGTCACCATTCTTTTGTAGAACTGAGAAATCGAGCTATACAAATAAACTGGCCAAGGAACTGGAATTTGGAAGTCAAGCTGTTTGTTAGTACTTGTGGTTTTCAAAGAATACTACAACAATATTAAAGATGGAGATATTTTCTAGATATATCAAGTAAATATCCCACTCATGTAGTTTCCCTTGGTTGCCTAGATATCTTATGCGAAATTGGATTGGGGCCTATATCACAGAATTACTTCATTTTAGTACTCAAAATATTTATTTTTAATAGCCTCCATGTGTGTGCCCACAAAGGCAGGGTGGTATGATAGCAAAACATTTGGTCAACATATTCAATTTATAAATGTAATTGGGCCAGTTGTTAGTCATCAAATAGACTCAGTCTCCAGATGTTGGATTCCTTTCCCACTGAATGGATCTAATTAGTTATCTGTCATGTTTTAATATATCCACCCAAAGAAAGTGCAAATGTGTACAGAATTTAAACCAGTAGCTTCTTTCTGTTCCTTGCATTCTAGAGCTAGTTTTGTTTACTTGCTCCATAACCTTATGGGAGCACTATCCTGAATGAAACACACATGATTGAAAATGTGACATATTAAGTTATCTTGTGCAATATGTGGCATTTTTCTTGCTGAAAAGAATTTAATGGAGGAAATGTATTTCCATGTCATGTAAGTGAAATTTTCACAATCACTTCAATGATGTTCATAATCAAAGTCAATAAAGAACTGAATGTTTTTCTTCTACAGAAACATGGAAATAAAGTTTGGTAATTAAAACTTAGAAAAGCACCCAAAAATACAACAAAATCCTGTCTCCATGTAGCATGCATGGAGGAGCCTCACTATATTATTCAGGAGCCAAGATGATAAGTAGACTGAGTCTCAACAAATAATACAGGCAGGGAAGAGAGGGAGATAAGAGTCCTGGTAGGCCCCGCATCTCTCTGAGATCTGCATCACTTGTTCTTGGACTGAAAGGAGGACCACATTGTCGGAGTATAGTCTTCTGAAACCTCACACTTATGCTTTGGTGTAGCTCCCCTACTTCTGTGATTGATCACTGATCCCTCAAATCTTACTTTCCTTGTGCTTCATCAGTCTTTGAGGCTCTTTTCAGCATTCCAAAGTCTTTTTTTTTTTTTTTTTTGTGGAACTAGGGATTGAACTCAAGCCCTTGCACTTGCCAGGGAAGTACTTATTCCACTGAACCATCTCCCCGGCCCCATTTTTTTTTTCAGAACTGGAGATTGAACTCAAGCTCTTGTGCTTGCCAAGGAAGCACTTATTCCACTGAGCCATCTCCCCGGTCCCCCAAAGTCTTAACTATCTATTGTACTCCAGAAATCTGTGGGAAGTTGCTAACTTTTCCCTTCCCCCTCTTGTTCCAAATACTCTAAATTTTCCTGGGAATGAGAAGCCTTACATGCTAGCGTAGTTTTGGATTAGTTCTACCTACTGGTGTAGTCCATTCTGGGTTTCCTCCCTCAAACCACATAAAAATCAATTGGTTAAAAATTAAGTTTATAGGGCTGATGTGATAGCTCACTGGTCTAAATGTCTGTTTATGCAGGTTTAGGGAGGCGCAGGGGACTATGGCTCGATCCTGGCACCACATGCTGTGCCAGCCCCTCCTTCAGGGTAGGCTGAGCTGGCCAAAAAAAAAAAATTAAATTTATAAATTTGAAGACAATATTATGCAACAGAGCAACAATTGTTTAATTCTGTGTGTGTGTGTGTGTGTGTGTGTGTATGAAATTCTGTATCATTTCTAATTCTTTTCCTTACTATTTTGTATTCTCTTTATATAATAATTTAAAAATTAAGTTTACAGAAAAATGACTAGGCTGTTTTATTTCCTAAGTGTCTTTGTGAGCTCCTTCAGGACTCAACTAAGTCTAATTGTTTTTGCATTATCAGAATGTAACCAACAAAGTCCCTTTGATAAAGTAAAGGCTCAACATGGGACTATTTATTCATGGGACTGAATAAAATGAAACTAAATAAAAGGCATAAACTGATCACTTTGATGGATGTAAATAAGATAAAATATCTCCAGAATAAAATTTGTCTGTCGTAACTTCATTAAATTATCAGCTGCAAATATTGTTGAGTGTTATTTTGGAAAGTAGCATTTTATGGGTAGCATAAAAATGCTGCTAAGCACGCCCCACCACCTCAAACATGCTTAGAATAGTTTCCAATTTCCCTCGACTGTAGTACAGTATTATTTATATGCTACATGGTATATTTTGTTTGTGTGTATGCATATGTATATATGGTCACATACATATGTATACATTACAGATTGAACATGTATTTTATTCCTTAGGAACATAATAATATAACTCCTTTGTAATGCAAGATTTAGAAATGGATGTAAGAACTATATTATTAGTATAGACACAGTATTTTAATTTAGATTTAAGAGGTCAGAAAATAGAAATGGATGTTTGGATTAGATCTAATGATTAAACACTGTACTAAACAAACACTATACAACCGAATAGTCACATGAAAACATGATTATCATAAAATATGTATAATATGTGCAAAATTCAATATACATACATGCCTATGATTCCCAGGAACCATTATATTTTCTGGGTAAAATGTGTAAGCTTATTTAAACCAGTACAGGTAGTTTGATGTTACCCCTGGAAAACACAGGTTATCGGTACAAGATCCCCCATAGCTTGGAGGACAAGATGAACATGGCACTCCCACTTTGTATGGCGCCTCCCCGATCCAGTTGCCCCTAGGAGGGAAAAAGAATTGCATTAGCGCATCACAACCATTAAAAAATTATTCGTCAATATATACTCTCATGTATTTGACATGTAATCATCTTCTGAGAACTTGAGTTTAGAAAAGCACTACAAGTTAAAACCAATTCATCTTTCCACAACTCACTTAGTATATCTTGCTTTTTAAATGCTTTTCATCAGAATCAATTAACTATTTTAATTTAAAGGTAAAGTGTGTGCCCCTGTAATATATAATGATATCCTTAAGTCTTGGGCTGCTGAGCTTGCTGCACATTCCTCCCATCAGATTCTGGTAGCAATTTTTTTTTTTTTTTGCATTTTTTTAGGGGAGGGTCTCACTACTAGATCAGACTCGTAGTGATCTGCCTGTTTACAGCCTCCCAAGAGCTGGATTACAGGCACGCGCCACCATGCCCAGTCTCAATTGCCATCTCAATGTGCCCCGGCGGTGGGGCTAGCACGGCAGGCCCTGGGATCAAACCCCCAGCCCCTGTGCCTGCTTGTAGGCACTTTAATCCACTGAGCTATTTGGCCAGTCCCCATAGCAATTTTGTAGGGCATGTGATTAGGTCATGATTAAGTCAACGGATTCCTCCTAAATTGATGCTGATGATCTTTAAAGCTGGTTATAAAAATACTGTCATTTTCTAGAAGGCATAGAAATGATGAAACGAGTGAAAATTAGTCACATATACAAAGAATTTCTTAAATTATTTCAGAAGATGTGTTTGTAAAGTGGCAAAATATTTTAGATTCCAATCTTCATAAAATAAGCACTGCACTGGAACTACATCCCCACCTAGCCCACTGCGTTGGTATAATAAAAGTGAAAATGCTCAGAGGAGCAATTAAGGATGATTCCAACCTTTTGTCATATATAAATTTATAGCTACTTAACTTTTTAGTTAATGACATTAGGACTTGATAATGTAGAACATCTTTCATTGAATTGTTTTGCACTATTAGTATTTCTCTTCTACTATTTTATGTCCTTGATCATAATAATAAGCCAAAGTCAGCATTCATGACAGTTAAAAATAGCTGTGATGCCTTTTCATTATGAAAGTGAGAATATTGAATGTATGTTGAGTAGCCTGATGACTAATAAACTTGAATATTAAGAGATATATAGTTGCATTCTCTTAATGAATAGAATGATTTTTTCTAATGGTGTTTGTAAGTAGGATCACAAGTCTGCATCTTGTACAGCAATTAACCACTGAGAAGAATGTATGCAGTGTATTATTTGTTGAAACTATACTTTCGATTTGATTTGAAACTGTCTCATTGCTATATGTTTATCAATAAAACTTTGAAAAGAAAAAAAATAAAATAAAAAAAATAAAACTTTGAAAAAAAAAGAAATATTCCTGTAGATAGAAATGTAAAGAAAAGTAGATAATCAGAAAAAAGTGTGTTCATCAATACTAAAAAGCCAGAGGTGAAGATAAGGCTGATGAGAGCACAAACCATAGGCAGGTTGTCCTAGTCTTCTTTAAAATTAAGACCAATCAGTGTCCATAAAGAATATGAAGATTTCTAGTAAATCCAATCATTTAAAACTAAGCTTTTATCGACAAAATGTCTCTAGAGGAAAATTTATCCATAAAATGAAATAGCTGCTAATTGAAGATTACCATTACAAAATGACATAAAATTGAAAGGCCGTTTTTCTGTACTTCATTTCTTCTCTACTCTGTCTTCAGGATGACATTCTGTGAGAATAATGTTGATGATGTCACACACTTGCCCAGAAACATTCAACCTCTATGTGTTTATGAGTTTTGTTCCCTCCTTTCACCCCATCCTGTTTCATTCTATTTTAATAACTACAGTGTCTTCTCCATATTCACTCAAAGCCATACAAGTATATAGAGTTAGGCTATACTACTTAAACTTTATACTTTTTGTATTTATTTTATATAGTTTTTTAAAACCACAGACTACATATTTTGGTGACAAAAATTAGAACTAGAATTTTGTTATAAGTAAAGAAAATTTTATATTATAAATCTTACATAAATCACAGATTTTACTGATAGAGGATAATAACATTCAACAGTAAGTCCAACGACTCTTTTGTTCACATTATTCACTTTTATTTTCCCTATTTTATCTAATTATATCTTCTGTTTCCATCCTCTCTCCTTTTCTCCCCTCTATGTTTATTCTTACTAAAAAACTGACTAGAGATAACTTTATATTGGCAAACAAAAAATTACATTTGGCTACCAGATAACAATTTAATTATTTTATGATATAGGTTTAATTAAAAAGTTTTTTTTTAAATTATAATATAATATATTAATGCTAAATCTTAATTTCTTGGATCCATAAAGCAATAATACAGTTTATCAATAATATGAGAAAAGTTGTAGGGCTGGGGAGATGGCTAAGTAGACTAAGCGCTTGCCTGGCAAGTGCAAGGTCCTGAGTTCAATCCCTGGTACTGCAAATAAAAAGAAAGAAAGACAGAAAGAATGAACAAATGAATGAAAGAAAGAAAGGAAAAGAAAGTTTTAATCATTAACCAAAAGCAGAATAGTTAAATGAATGAGACAAAAACAGTTTTGATTATTTGGTTACTTACCTACCTGGTGTATTTATGTCAAAGAGAAAGGATAAAGGCTTAATAGAATAATATAATATGTGAAAATAAAAATATCAAACAAACGTAAAAATGTAGTATCTTTTAAAAATAATGCAAACACCTTCTCTTTTGCAAATCTCTCCATCCTAATAATTATGAAGAGGGAACCAGAGAGAAGTCACTGTTTTTCTAACTCTGCAAGGACACGGCCACTGGCACACTGCCATATCAATGAGTAATGCACTTACTTGTGTAACATGTTCTCACTCCCTCCTCGTGCTGGAAGAGCTCGCGAAAAGTCTTTGTTTGGGACTTACTTTGGAAGACACTATGACTATCATAAATCCTTTGCACATTTCGGTATTTATTCCAAGTGGAATCATAACAGTGATATTGGAACATTTTATCATATAAAGAATTATTGTTATCAAGAAGGCATTTTATCAAATGTTGGCAAAAGTTTGTTGATCCTTATACTATAAAAATCCTCATAAATAGGACTATACAGTCTTTGGTAAATTTCTATTAGTAGGCCATAAATGGTATTACTATTTTTTATCTAAAAAGAACAGAAATTAAGGATTTATTTCAATCATCCTGCTGTCTTAGTAAAAAAAAAAAGTGAGCCAACATTCTAATATGATAAATGAAAACATGGTGGAGTTGATAAATTCCTTTTAAGATTCTTTTTGGGGAGCTTTTATATAGTTATTGAAACAGTGAAGGACAGTACATTTTTTATAATTTCCACAACAGAAAAAAAGACAGTGAAGAGAATTTGGTGAGTCCAGATGTCTCAAGCTATTTTGCTTACAATTTTAGCCCAGAATCCTTTCCTTGGTGAAAAGAAATGTTACCTAATTCTGTTCTGGAAATCTAGGAATGATGATAAGTCTGAGGATTCGAGGCCACCATGCTGTTTTCCTCATTTGTTAAGCACTCCTATCAGGCTGGGGATATTTAACATCCTCCAAAGACCTAAGAAACAGAACCCATGCTGGTACTTACTTTGGGGCATAGTTACACACCAAGTACACTGCACGTCTCCAAATAGCTCCCCAGACATTCATGTTCTGGCAAGTGTGAATGGCACATCCTATCCGATTAGTGGTGGCCCACACCATCTGCGAAAATAAACAAATATTTTCTAATATTGCTAAGAAAACGGTGATATACCAAAATAGCATTTTTAAAATGTGAATCATAAAATAGCAAAGCAACTTAAATAACCTGTGTATAATGTGTGCACATGGGACCAAAACATCTCATAGGACACCTGGGGTTGCAGTCCTGAGGATACGGAAAAGCATAATCTTTCACTTCATCATACCATGGTTTGACCAACTGGAGAATAGAGCGGTATCTAGATGTTAAGAGGGAAAAGAAAGAAAAAATGTGAAGTACAGCAGTGGTAGTTTTTAGTGGTTTCATTTTACATTGTAAATTAATTTTTAAGGGACATTAGGACATCATAAAAGCATATTCAACCTTTACAATTACCACCAATATGCAGTAGTATTCTCTAATTTCTCTAAGACTGGAGAAATAATTCTATATTTGCCTAAGTATATATTAGGTTATTTTTGAGGAAAAAAATGTTCAAGAATCATCTGTCTTATTCAATACATATTGAAAATTTCTTCCATCAGAATTTCATAAACAATGCAGAATTATACTATAAAAGTGGTCATAAGACTAGCACTGAGTGCATTTGCCCTTAAATATGGACAACTTTAATTTAAATAAATTGATTTTCCTCCTCTAAATGGAAAAGAATGGGTCTTTAATGATATTATGTAGTGGTAGAGAAATTATTCTATCAGTGTAAACATACTTTACTATATATAGTTGCACTTTACCTGCATATCTATGAATGTGTATATATATA